CCCTGCACCCACGTGGGAGACCCGGACGGAGTTCTGGGCTCTCTCGGCTTCGGTCTGACCCAGCCCAGCAGCTATGGAAGAACTAACTCTGCCTTTCAAATAAGTAAATAAATATTCTTTAAAAAAGTAGCTTAAGTGGGGGTGGGCACGTAGCCTAGCAGTGAGCACACGTGACCCACACTGGAGTGTCTGGGCTCAGCCCTGGCTCCCGACTCCGGCTTCCCGCTACGTGCGCCCTGGGAAACAGCAGGTGAGGGCTCAAGTAGCTGTGTCCCTGCCACCCCCACCCCCACCCACCCAGGAGGTGACCTGGCTGCATTTCCGGCTCTGGCCCCAGCCCCAGCCGGCCCGGTCACTGAGAACCTCTGGGGAGTGAACCACCAGATAGGAAGCTCTCTCTTGTTGCCCCTCAAAAGGGGGAGGGCTAAATGGGTAAATTTTACGTTCTGTGCGTTCCACCACACACACACACACAAAATCCTTGTTTTTTGCAGGAACAAGTTCCAACTCCTCCCCGGGTCAGACATGCCTCAGACAGACTGATGCCCCTGCTCCCCACCCTCGCCTCCCCTGTCCTCATGCCAGGTGCGTGCCCCCAGCCCTGCACACTGATGCAGACCCCAGCCCCCAGCAGCTCCTCTGCCTAGAAGCCCCCCCAACACCTCTACACACCCCATCCTCCTCAACCTGCACAGAGGCTCCCCCTCTGGGAACAGCCCCAGTGCCAGGCTGAGCAGACTGCTGTCCCCGCCCCTCTCACAGCCAACGGAGAGGCCCCACACTGTGAGCTCGCTGGACAGGACAGACCCAGCTGCAATGATGCAGCTACCAGGGGCACGCAGTCCTCAGTGCTGAGGTCAAAAATGCTTTCACGGGTGCCCCAGGAACTGTCAGGGGTCACGGAGAATAAAGCCCCCAAGGGCAGGGCGTGTCCCACAAGGTAGCATCTGCGTGGAGGCCAGGACACGGGAGTGCTCAGTTTACCAGTTTACCCCACGGGGAGGAAGGCCTGGGGCTTCCTGAGAGCTCTCAAGGCCACTTGTGAGATACACTGTTACTACGCTCATTTAAAGAGGGATGAGGCACAAAGAGGGGAAACAGGGCTGGTGGGTGGCGAAATCAGAAAGGGAACCCACTCTGGCCTCTGCCGTCTGCTGACGGCCACGGTGCCACACGGTCACTCCTGCTTTAGTGAACCCACAAGTGAGGGACGTGCGGCGCGAGCTTCACAGGCCCGGCAGCAGCCCACAACACCAGAAAGACAGCGTGAACAGCCACTTAACTCAAGGCTCAAGGTTTTCTTTCACGTGATATATTTATCTTCCTTCAAGAGTAACATCATCCTGAACATTGCAGACTTCCCAGACTCAACACAGCCACAATAAAACTCACTCTTCTCACAGTGCCCAAACTTACTCCTTCTCAGGCGCTCTTCATCTTAAAGGGAAGACAAACCGGGGGCTGCTGAAGCAATAAAGCTGTTATCTTCAACCCCAGCCAGCGCACTTCCTTCCTCTCTCACACACACTCCTGAATGTGCGTGTATGCACTCATGTGCGTGCAGCACCCCCCACCCCACCCCCAGCAGATCAGGTTAAGGCAGACCTACAACCCGGCTCCTAACTGCTCTTCATGTCGGTTCTGAATCTCTCTCTGTTCCCCACCAGCTCCAGAATTATCTGTCATGCAAACTGGGGGCCGGCGTTGTGGCACAGCAAGTCAAGCTGCAACCTGCAGTGCTGGCATCCCATATGAGCGCCAGTTTGTCCTGGCTGCTCCACTTTGAAGCCTAAGTAACAGAGACAGAGAAAGATCTTCCAATTACTGGCTCACTCCTCAGATGGCTGCAATGGTCCCAGGCTAGGCCAGGCCAGAGCCAGGATGGCCTCCCACGTGGGTGCAGGGGCCCAAGCACTTGGGCCATCGTCCACTTTCCCAGTGCGTTAGCAGGGAGCTGGACTGGAAGTGGAGCACTGGTGCTGCACTAACCCGCTATCCCAATGCCAGCCCCTACACTCCACTTTTTAAAACATTTGCTGGTCTCTGGTTTTCCACAGCAGCAAGCCCAAACCCTGCTATGGCACAGACACACCTCTTCACAGAGCTCAACACTGCCTTCCTCACTCCTCTTCCACTAACAGTTATCAAGGGAGCAGTGAGGACGCCCGGCTTCAGTCCCCAGCTCCTGCGCCCGACTCCAGCCTCTGCAAACACATCCCGAGCGGCAGCAGCCACCACCCGGGTACTCGAGTCTTGCCGCCACCCAAGTACTCCAATCTTGCCACCACCCGAGTACTCGAGTCCTGCCGCCACCCGGGTACTCGAGTCCTGCCGCCACCCGAGTACTCGAGTCCTGCCGCCACCCGGGTACTCGAGTCCTGCCGCC